AAATTACCCCGGTTATGCCAGGGGAAATGCGGTGTGAACGTCAAGGGATCAGATTCCCCTTGTTGCGGCTCGCTGGCTCCCACCTCCCTCGTCCCTTTAAAGCCGAGGATGCCCCTTTGGAAGCGGTCGGGAGCACCGAGTGACTTTTTGGGGGGCACGGCGGTTGCTTTGCAATTTCAAGAGGTAATTACAACCCGCCGGCCCCGGGGTTGGTTTCTCGCCGGAGCGTGTTGCGCTGGCTCTCGCCGGTGCAGCGGGGGTGTTACCCTCTCCCCGGAGCAGAAGGGGGGATTCTTGCGGTTACCAAATTTGCAGGAATGTAAATGAGCACGTTTTTGTGAGCGCGGAGGGGAGGGGGAGGAGGGTTGCACATTTTACAGCTCACTGACCATTTGGCGATCCATTGAGAGGAGGGTTTGGAAAAGTGGCTCCTTTGTGACAGCTCTAGCCAGATTGGGGGGCTGCTCATTTGCATCTCATTAGGCATGCAGGCGGCCGGCGGGATATAAGGGAGGCAGGCGCCCAAGGAGAGGCAGATCCTTAGCGCTTCACCCTCGGAGAGAGCCGCGGAGCCGCGGCACAGAGCAGAGCAGAGCAGAGCAGGGCAGAGCAGAGCAGAGCAGGCACCCCCCCCCTTCCCTCCCCCGTAGGAGCACACCCGGACACGCTCAGTGCGCCGCTATTGAGACACGAGCTTATTTTTCTTGGCTGGGATTCCTCTCAAAACAAAAGTAAGCCCACGACAAGGAAAGAGAGCTTCGCTTCTTTTGCAAAAAAAAAAAAAAAAAAAAAAAAAAAAAAGGGAAAAAAGGGGATCAAGGCTCCGACGTGACCTGCCCGCCGCCGCTGCCGTCTGACACCCACCGGCCCCGACGTGCGCAGGGCGAGCGCAGCCGCGCAGAGCCGCGCAGAGCCGCTCCCGCATCTCACCGCACCGGGAATTATCGCCGCGTCCGCCGCTGCCTCTGCAGGGATTTCCAGATCGCCGATTTTTAATCTTCCTTGGGAAGCCTTTTCTCTGCCTCTGTTGGGAATTAAGTTGCCTTTATTTTTTTTTATTTTTATTTTTAATTTTTTTTTCTTCCTGGAGGAAAGGAGGAGCACCGTGGATTGGGAAAGAAAAAGAGTTTAGCAGATTAACCTTAACCTTTTTTTTTTTTTTCAATTTTTTTTTCCCTTTCTTTTTCTTTTGCCATCCGAAAGAGCTGTCAGTCACCGACAGGCTACACCTAGAGGTATCGACAGAGGGGCAAAAAAAAAAAAGTCAGAGACACTCCTGAAAGAAGGAGACCGTGACACTAACCCTTCCAGCTCTGCCGGGCCGAGCGGCTTTGGCCGCGGCGTTTTTCCCTTCCCTCGAGAGACTTTCCCCTTTCCCCTCCAACGAGAAGACAAGGGGGAGGAAAGCGAGGGCACCAGAGCTGCCCCTCCAAAATGGGAGGTCGGTTCGTGCTGACGCTCGCCCTCCTCTCGGTGCTGCTGAGCCGCTGCCAGGTAAGTGCCGGGGGGGGGGACGGGACACGG